AGTCCAGCCGACTCACAAGCATGCACCAACGACATTCCGTTGTTGTTGGTCTCGTCAGTAGCTTGGGGACCCACGGCTGTGCTGCGCGAGTTATGTCCCACGTGACCATTGAAGTCGCCAAGAAGCCAGACGCGCGTGCGCTTTGGAACCGAATGCAGGATCTCCATGAGCGCCTGGAAGAAGAGTGGCCTTTGCGCATCATCACTTTCCTGCGGCGCGTATGCAGTCACAAACAGGTCGTCCATCTCCACACCCTTCATGCGGCTGGTAATGCGCAGACCTCCAAGGCGACCATGAAGGCCGCGAGGAGGGTCAAAGCGAGTATGAACGCAAGCAGATTGCAGCAATCGATGGCTGATTAGCAGCTGCACGCCAAGCATCTGGTTGTTGGCAGGCTTGCCCCAGGAGAAACAAGAAAATCTAGCGCGACCATCTCGGTTGTGTACAACCCACTCACCGCGCGGATCTCCAGACTTCCATCTCGTGCCTTGCAAAGCAGCCACTGTGACTCCGAGTGTGTGCATGTCTTCAGCAAGCTCTTGCAATCGGACACTGCCAACCCCAAGCGACTGACAGTTGTAGGTCAACAAGCTTAGCTGATTCAGTACCAAAGAGGTCTCTCGGCGTTGCTGCAATTGCTGCGCAGGCCGCTGCAAATGTACCACCCCGTCTTGCCTTCTCAGATGAAAAAACTGATCTCGCTCGAACCACCAATTTCTGCAAGCATTCATTTTGTCTTTGACAGTAGTGATGTCTTGCCAAGGGAAGAAAGCAGCCAGTCGACCAACATCTGAGATAAGATTGCCCTTGTACCATGCCCAACCTTGCAGCAAAAAAAGCCTGATGGTGCGCATTATGCTGCGTTTGCTGGTGGTTCTTGCACGGGCGTTCCCACCTCTATCGCGAGCATTGGATTGCATGGCAGTCTGGACTGAGTCCGTGCACTCAGTCCACCCTCACCCCCATCTTTTGGCACCGCAAGTGTCCATTGCGAGTGACCCACGGATTTGGGACCGTGGCTCCCTTGGTCACTGTAAGACCTTTTGAGCGGAGAGGGGCTTTTCAGAAAATGCAGTTAAGCGAACTTCTGTCCAACTACTTGGGAGTACTACTACGTACACTGAACATGATGATGATGATGATGACGATGACGATGATGATGATGATGAAGATGCTGATGAAGATGCTGAGGGTGACGACTATGTTGAGGATGATGCTGAGGATGGCGAGGATGATGATTATG